AAGGATGGAAGAGAAGACCACCTGTGCTCCCGTCTCCCTTGAAGCAGTGTTTTGAAAAACTCACAGCTTTAATTTATGGCCCCCTTTTCAACTACACATGTCCTAATATGGTGTTAGCTGAAAGCTTGTTAATGGAACCCATTTTAAAAAGAAATCTGTGGTGTCTTTCAAATAGCTAGCAGCTCGAGTGGCATACAGGGATAAGATAGTATCAGCAAAAGCAGAAACTCTCTGTGTGATGGTGACATTGCCAGAGAGAATGGGGCATCCTGAGTTGCCAAGTTTGTGGCTCTTGGGTAATAAATAATAGTTGCCTTGCCTCCAATAAAATATATTGCCCACAATAATTCTTCATTCTCTCATACTTCTGAGACTATCACTCCAGCACTAGATTTTACACTGAAAATATTCTCTTAAAATAAAGGGATTTTATTGTCAGAGGATTTCAAGGCAAGAACCTACTTTTTTTCCTAAATCCAGAAGAAATGTTCAAGATCTTCGTCTGTTTTTATTTGAGAATTCTGGAGGAACTTTCAAACAGCTTTTTTTTGCTTCCAGGATTGTTGCTTTTCACTTTCTATTCTCTGATTTACCAAGTAATCTTGGCTCTGATCTCTATGGGGCTCATACCACCCTCACAAATGCAGCATCTGAGAACCTTCCAGTAGTCCTTTATGTGATATAACACATCATATGCATATTAGTCTATCACTCACTTATACTGTTAAGACATACAATAAAAAAATAAGAAGAGACACTAGTAAAAAAGAAAAAAAAAACCCTCTAAGATGAATGATAGTGTCAGGTGAGATGTGAATAGCAAAGATTTAGAGCTGATTAAAAAACTAACTAAAATTATATCAAAAATCATTCTTCCATTGAAATTAAAAGAAAAATGCAGTCACACCTACTTACACACAAAAGGTTAAATCCAGAGGATAAGTTAAGTGAACAAAAGTTCTGGTCCTTTTAGCTGAAAAGTTGCTACTTATTGGGCATGTCTACATGGTGCTATGCTTTAGTACTTCCTTTTAGAAGTAATAAGCATGGCACAGTAACCATTTGTACTGAGCTGTGCACGTGGCACACAGTTAAATTTAGCCACTATGTCACCATATTGGTGCACTACAATGGGGGAGCATGCCACTACAGTGATATAGCTGCTGATCACATGTAGACCCATGTGATCACTTTGTTGCCGCAGCATGCCATACGGTGATGTAGCGCATTGTTATGTCACCATAGGGCAATGTTTCGATGTGCCCGTGAAGATTTATCTTTATTTACCAAGAAGAAACTTGCCTCTTTATATACTTCACCTCCAATTTTGATCTAATAAGCTTATGAATCTCCATTTGTATAACTTCTGTAAGTTAATAGGACAGATGAGAGTGTTACAGGAGGAAAATCAGCCAGCAGGCATTTTTTCTTATTTTAGCAGGTTGGACAGTTTCTAGTGCTACTTCTCAGGGTTCTATGGCTAATTAAGAAGATTACGAATCCATCATTTATCAGCTTGTAAATTACACAATTGAACTATTGCCTCTTAATCTTTGTTTTACTCATTTACCATAGGTTTGTCAACGTTTCAAGTGAATTACACCAGTGGAGTTTGTGAGCTGATATTCATGGAAAGATGGGCGAGCTTGGTAGTAAAGGTGCTAGCCTAGAATCTCGGAGAACCTGGTTCACTTTCTACTGGGCTGCCCTACTACTAACCTCTTGTGCAGCTTTAAGCTAATCTTCTAGTCTCCCTTTGTGAGACCAACTGAAGAAACATACTTGTCGCAGGATCCAACAGATTACTTGCAATCCGTAACCAAAGCTACATTTTGAAACATTATTACTCAAGTATTAGGAGTGATTGGAGTCTGTTGGCTTGAAGCCTTTGCCATCCAAATAAATAAACAAGATGGGCAAGGGATGGGAAGAGGGAAGGAAACATGGGCCAGGCAGATTAATTAGCCTAGCCTGCTCTATATCAGTGCAAAAGGCAACAGGAGAGCTAAGATTTGAGCCTGAATCTCCTGAGTTCTAGTCTAGTGCCTTAGCCACCATGTTGAGGTGGTTGTATATACAAAAAATAAATGGTGTCTAGCTATCACTTTTAACAGTTAGTATCTGTGGTAATTCTGGGTGAAATCCTGGTCCCAGGGAAGTCATGGTGAATCTTGGCATCGGCAAGACTTACGATTTTAGACCTAGGTTATCCTAGCTGCACGAGGTGCCCAGGTTTGCTTTAGATGGCCACTCGTTTCTCTGCCTAACCGATCAAATTTTCTCATGGTCTGTAAGACAACTGAGGCTCCACCTGAGTTAAAGGCACAGTTCCTTCACTTAACCTCCGTTTTACTAAATAAGGCATTTGTTAACAAAACAGATACATCTGTTCTTTTTTTTTTAATTACCAGTGGACACTTTGTAATTCTCTCTTTTCTATCAGATTAAATTCCCTTGGAATTATGCAGCAGAAATTGTAGTTATTACTTATTACTGATACTGAATATCCACTCTGTTCTGTTTTGGATGGATTCTTGTATAGGGCCTCTCATTTTCCGGTAGAACATTAAGTGCCATGACTTACGTCTGTCATGTATTGTTTGCCCTCTTACCTCTCACCAGGGAGAGATGTGAGTGTTTTGTTTTGGTTGGGGGTGTTTTTTTTAATATAAATGTCACTGTGTGTTTGTGTTAGAGAAGGCAAGGTCAAAGGGATACAAGTTGCATTGGAGTGGACAGCAGTGAGGTTTGTGATGGGCCTTACCTCCTACAGGACCCCGTGCCAATGGTCCAGTGTCCTCCCTTCTAATAATAGCTTCTTACCAAATCCCCTCATAAGAAAGAGTTTTTATGCTTATGTGAACATTCCTTGGGAGGTTTTTTTTTAAAAACTACCTCTTTGGATCTGCAAAATTAGATTACTCTGCTTGTTCTGCTTGCTCACTTTAATACCTCTCTTGCAATGAGAAATGCATTTCAGTTCTTATTTTTATTTTTTTCATTAACTTGATCATAAGGAAACATCCAGAACACTTTTATGGTCTTGAACTCCTTGATTCTTGCTAAAAAAGTGCTGAGTAAACTAAGTCTAAGAAATACAGGGGAGTGTTTGGCTGACGGTAGGTAGATCAAGTATTTTATTTATTCAGATTTAAGCGCCCAAAGCAAAAGCCATTCGTCAAATGAGTATACTTGCTTAACAATTGTATTTGCTCAGCAATTTAAATGATAAAAATCATTGGCCAAATATTCTTCGTATCCATGTTGATGTAAATCAGGAGTGATATCATTGAAATCAGTGAAGTTATCTTCTTGTAAAATTCTTGAGAGAAGAGATTTAAGATTCATATATTTTTTAAAAGATTCTTTTTCTAGTCCAGAGCTCCTAGTCCCATTGAAGTTGATAAGACTGTTTTTTTTGATGTAGAAATTCATTATGTATGGTACTTTTAATCATTGTGAGCTATACCTTCCTCTGGACACAGTGAGAGTCTTGTACATAGAGCTCAAGGTGTGCCCTTCAGGTGTAGAGAAACCATTACATTGACCTATTCTTCCTACCTGCAAGATGAAGCAAACATTCTCCTAACAGTATGGGTGCTCTGTTATTTCCTTCATATGCTTGTCCTTCTTTACCAGCTTAAATGCTTTCATTAGGTTCAGCGTGAAGAGTGATCCTGAAGACAAGAATGAAATTTGAGCCATAGAGACAGCAGGAAATGTTTGCAAGCTGTGCAAAGTCCAACAGCGATAGTAAAACAAAACATCACGTTTGGAAGGAGAGCTCTGCATGCTGATCACTTATGATCCAACCCACTTCTCCCCCACCCCTCTGCCAGTTTTCTTGAGAGGAGAGAGTGTACATGTCAAAGGAAAAGATTTCTTGAGGGATTGCACTGAGAACCAAACCACAAAAAAGAACCTTTTTAAAAGCTTCCTTGTGCTACAGCAACAGATGGAGGCATCTAGAAAATATTGATGGGTTTTAACTGCACAACTGAGAGGCCTGTTTTTTTCTACTCTATCCATATGCATCTAAGCCCCATTAACTGCAATGGAAGAGAAAGGGAAGAACAAAAAAAACTTCTCATCAGTTCTGCAAGTACTTTACCATAACCTATGAAGCACCAGATGCCCTCATCTTCTGTAGACTTTAGCAAGAGTCCATGGTATTCAGCACCTGGTAAATCTGGGCCATAAGAAATAATGAGTCCTACAAAATAGAAGCAGGAGAGATCCTCACTAAACCAGCTCTTCGTTATTTGAATTAAAATGTGTCAAATAACAGAATGTGAGCCCCGAGCACAGACATTGAGAAAGGTCCTGTTTTGCAAGTGAAAAAAAAGCCACTAATTTCTGC